AAGCCCGTGAGCCATGGCCGCTGAGCCTGCGCGTCCGGAGCCTGTGCTCCGCAACGGGATAGGCCACAACAGTGAGAGGCCCGCATACCGAAAAAAAGAAAAAAAATTTAAGCCCTGTCTTTCTTGAGACTGAACTTGACCCCGTTGACCACTCCATTCTTGAAATACTCTTTTCCTTTGGTTCTGTAACATCACTCTCCTGGGTTTCTCTCTCCCTCTTTCTTTTTTTCTAACTTGCTAGCTCATCCACTTCTAGTCACCCATTCAGTTTTTAAATTTCTAAATACTTTTCATAGGCCTTTTTCTCACTCTGGTCTCTCCCAAGGCTTCATCTGCACCCTTGGCTTCAGTTATCTTCTTTACTTTGAACAAATTGAAATTTATTTTCCCAGTCCTGACTTATTGGAGCTCTAGACCTGAACCCCTGATTTTCTTCTTACTGTCCCCACTTGGATGTTTCAAAGATGTCTCATTCTCCACTTGACTTTTTAAAGATTCCTAAAGTGGCTTCCACTTCTCCCTGATTCTAATCTACTTTTATTTTTTTTAAAGAATGAGGTAAGGCCATGTCTTTATTTTTTTAATTTTTTAATCAAATATTAAGTTTTTTAAATTTATTTTTATTTTTGGCTGCGTTGGGTCTTTGTTGCTGCACGTAGGCTTTCTCTAGTTGCAGCGAGTGGGGGCTACTCTTCATTGCAGTGCACGGGCTTCTCATTGCGGTGGCTTCTCTTGCTGTGGAGCATGGGCTCTAGGCATGCGGGCTTCAGTAGTTATGGCTCGTGGACTCTAGAGCGCAGGCTCAGTAGTTGTGGCGCACGGGCTTAGTTGCTCGGTGGCATGTGGGATCTTCCAGGACCAGGGCTCAAACCCGTGTCCCCTGCATTGGCAAGCAGATTCTTAACCACTGCGTCACCAGGGAAGCCCCTGATCCACTTTTAGTCTTGCCTCTACACTACATGGCACTGTTTGGTTACCAAGGATGGAAATCCCAGGGGACTTCCCTGGTGGGCCAGTAGTTAAGACTCCAGGTTTCCACTGCAGAGGGCAGAGGTTTGATCCCTGGTTGAGGAACTAAGATTCCACATGCCACGCAGCACGGCCAAAAAAAAAAAAAAAAAAAATTCCTTACTCAGCCTGGTTACCTCTGTTTCCTTATCCCCCACATGCAAAGTTGCCAGTTTTGCCTCTTTAATGCCTCTCAAGTCTATCTTCTTCTCTGTAATCCACCACTTCCTTCCTAGATCATAATACCATCATTTATCACCTCTAATTCTGTTTAGTAGTTAGGTCTTGTTTTACCCATGTTTCCTCTTCAATCTATTCTCCACAGTGTAACCAGAGATGAAACTCAGATTAGATGATGCATCTCACTCCCTGCTACCTGCCCAACACACACACCGTTAAAGTGTTTCATGACTCCCCTTAACTCTTGGGATAAAAACCGAATCCTTAACATAGCCCGTCCATGGGGCCTTACCTGGTAAGGGATGTGCCTAATTTACTGCCTTTTCTCTTGCACGTGTCTGACTGCTCTTCTCTCTCCACTTCCTGTTTCCGTTTCTTTTCATTTCCCCCCCTGCTGTAGGGCTCTTCCTTACCCACTTTGGCTAGTGAGTGAGTGCTTATCCTTCACATCTCACCTCAAATAGCACTTCCCTAGGGAAGCGTTTACCAGAATACCCACCTGGGTCATAACTTTTCTTTTTCAGGGAAACTTTCATGGTTCTTTGCTCCCCAAGACCACCTTCAGGCTTGGTGGTTTGCTAGGAGGATTCACTAGACTCAGAAGAGCTGTGATACCCATGATGACAGTTTATTACAACAAAAAGACACAGACCAAGATCACCAAAGGGAGAAGGCACGTGTAATAAAGTCCGGGAGAAACCAAGCACCCCTTCCAGGTGATCCCTCCCTGTGCAGTTCACAGGGACTCAAATTTCAGCAAAGATGTGTGACAACATGTTCAGTTATCGCCAACAAGGGAAGGTCACTCAAGCTTCAGAGTCCACAGATTCCTTTACTGAGGCTCGCAGCGCCTAAGTGACCTACCATGGATACTCAGGATCCGCAGAAGGCAAAGATGTAGTGCTGCCTCAGGCAATACAAAGCCCACCCTTCATCATGAGTCACATTGTTAGCATAAATTATCTGGTCGTAATGATACAGTGGGACCTAAGCATAAAAATCACTCTCACTAGTCAAGATATTCCAAGGACTCAGAAGTGGTCTTCCTGGAGCAAGGGCAAGTCCTTATTTTTTTCTTTCATTTTGCCACACTGCACGGCTTGTGGGATCTTAGTTCCCCAGCCAGGGATTGAATCCAGGCCCTCAGCAATGAAAGTGCAGAGTCCTAACCACTGGACCACCAGGGAAGTCCCCCACAGGTACATTTTAGAACACGTTCAGGTGCATATTAGAACCTCGTTACTATGGCTGACAAAGTTCTACACAATTTGCCTCCCTTTATCTCTCCAACTTACCTCATACCACTCTAACCCCTGAAGATGCAGCTCTAAGCCACACTAGCCTTGCTTTTCTGCAAACACCCCAATACACTCCGAACCCAGGAATGTCTTTCTCAAAGACCTAGGAATCCATCTCTTTGAAATGAAGACATCAAAGGAGATAGCATCCCTACATCCCAGCTTCTGTGGGAGGGTAGGAGCCTACCTTTGACAGGCACCTTGCTCCAAGTAGCAAAACTACCTCTGTCATAAAGAATTGAGAAGTTAGTTTTCCCTTCTAGAAAGCCAATGTTAACAGCAGATAGTCACCCCAATTACCAGGTAAATTTAGGATGAACTATGTGTAACAAATCGTGCTGTCAATACTTGAGAACTAATTATTGTTTGAAAATGTATGTAATGGGTTGTGTCTGTTTGGCTATATAAAAGGGTGAGTTTTATTCTTTGCAATCTCTTAGCAACTGTGCTGTGCATCACATTCTGGTTTAATGCTTATACAATATTAAACTATTTTTTTTCTCTACTATCTTTTTGGAGAGGTTTTTCTGAGTTGGAGGAGATTCTTTCCTTTTTAAGTTTCCCCACCAATTCACACTATTACCTATCTAAAAGAATTCAATTGTAAATGTTTTTGAAATTTCTGTGTATGCCAAACAAATAAATATGGGGGATGATTTTACTATTTGAGACCCAGAATGCAAACTGATTACTGGGTCCAACAAATACACTTGACCCTTGAACAAAAGGAGTTGAACTGCCTAGGTCCACTTAAGGCAGGTTTTTTTCAATAGTAAATGCTATAGCACTGCACCACTTGGGGTTGGTTGAACCCCTCCCTGGATGCAGACCCGCAGATATGGAGGAATCTCAAATACTGATAAGACAAGCTGGGACGTGGGACCATTTGCTGCAGTGCTTGCACCTGGACAAACATCTCCTCCAGCAACAAAACACAAAGAAACTATAAGGGACTAAAAATAACTTTGTGCATGTGCAATTGGGGCAAATTATGAGCAACAAGATACAAAAAGACCAAAAGCCCAACTGCCACTTCTGAGGAGCTGGGAAAAGAAGCAGGGTACCAGGAGCAAAAACAAGGTACTGGGAGCAGAAACGGTATTGTGCATGCTCCCTGCACACAGCACCACCAAGGAGGTGGGCAGATTACCTAAGCCACCCCTCCAGCCCCACCCCTGGGCTCACCTCGTTTAAGGGCCCAGCCTGCCCCGCTTCAGGGAGCGAGCCAGCGAACCTGCTACTTGTTTTCTCCCTCCTGCTGCAGGAGTCCCAATAAAGCCTTACCTGAATTTCTCCTCAGGCCTCTTATTAATTTCTATTGATTAGCGAGTCCAAGAACCCTGGTGGTAACACTGAGGGCCAACCATAAGTTATATGCTGAAGGTCAGCACCCTTAAATACCAACCCCCCCCACCATCCCGCTTGTTCAAGGATCAGCTGTGCTGTAGTAAGTACATGAGACAGGAGGGCTGAATGCAGCTGTGGTCCGTGCGCCCACTTCAAGTGGCCCGGGCAGTCCTGGGCTTGGGGAGGCAGGTGTATTGGGGGAGTGCACACAAGCCACAGGATACTGGGGGACAGAGGCACAAATTTCGGGGCGCTCCACAGTGGTGACCCTCACATAAGCGAGTGACTGAGGAGGACCCTGGGGAGCGGCCTGAATAGGACCCGCCCTTCAAGCTGGGGCCAGTTGGGCTGCACGTGGTTCTGGAGTTTGCCAACTGCATAACGTACCCCGGCAGCTTCCTGCGGTTAGTTTATATTCAGTCACACCTGCGTCACATCACTGAGTTCGTTAAAGCAGTCACTCAGTCACCGATTTATATGTCTGCTCATTCATTCAGGGTTCTTGCATTACAGACTCTCCACACCCCTCCACCCTCTCTGCCCTTCCGGTTTCTGGCGCTCCCTCCTCTCGTGTCTTTCTGCCCAAGCTCCCGCCTTCCTGTCTCCGAGCCCTGCCCTCTCATTGGCCCAGCGCCTTCAGTCCCGCCCCCCCAACCACGGGCGGGAGCTCTCATTCCTGTCTCTTCTATTGGGCACGCTGACTAAGCCTCAGACATTTCAACCAGTGGGAGTCAACCAGGAACTACCCGCTCAGCCAATGGGACCAGAGCACTTAGTATAAAGGGCCTGGCCCGCGTTGTCCAGGATCTTATTCAGTAGTGGGTATGTGCGCAGGTGAGCCTCAGGGGAACCCGCAGGCGGTGCCCGCCCAGTGACTGCCCCGAGGCTGCGTGGGAGCAAGTCGGGACTGGAAGAGCCTCAGCCTGAGGGTTACCTCCTTCCTGGACACCCAGCTCCGCAGGGCTCAGGTTGGCGTCCTCCCCACCACCATCTTGTCTAGTGAGCCTCCCGAAAACTGTGATGAAGTCGGGCAGTGCGCAGCCCGCAGGTGAAAGGGATAAGTACCAGGACCAGAGAAAGGGTTTAGAAGAAAGGCCTGGTGTCAGTTGTTGGGGGTGGGTGTGCACAGAAGAAAGTATTGACGTCTCTTTTCTTTTTTCCGTAGCTGTAGCAGGTCAAACGATGCCCAGCATCCCAACCATGTGAGCGCTTTTGTTTTGTATCTGAAAAAGGAAGGGGAATGGGACCGAGGGATGAAGAGCAAGCTCCACGTGTGAAGGTTGCCTCATGGGACTGACAGTTATTGACCAAACACCCTGACAGGGCCCTTGAGAAGGGAAAGGGGCTCAGGGAGGGTTAAGTGAAACAGGAAGGCGAGCATGAAGTTTCCCTGACTCTCCACCCACCTCCGAAACGGAGGCTCTTTTCCTTCTCTACTATCAGGCGGCGCCTCACAATTGATGATTTTGAAATCGGGCGTCCTCTCGGCAAGGGAAAATTTGGGAATGTGTACCTGGCTCGGCTCAAGGAAAGCCATTTCATTGTGGCCCTGAAAGTCCTCTTCAAGTCCCAGATAGAGAAGGAAGGACTGGAACACCAGCTGCGCAGAGAAATTGAAATCCAGGCACATCTACAGTAAGGACAGTCTCTGTATGAGATTCCTGTTACAGGTTCTTTTTTTCACTTGTTCCTGTTTCCTCTTCCATCTCCGACATCTGAACTCATCATTCCCCCCAATACTACCCCCAAATAGGCCCTTTGCTTTCACCTTGAAGATTTTTTTTAACATCCTTATTGGAGTATAATTGCTTTACGAAGATTTTTTTTCTTTGCAGTTCATTCTAGTTACACCATGTAAAGCTCCCTGTGTCAGACATCAGAATCTTGTTGCCTGTTTCATTTTCCCCTCACAAACTTCCAGATCATGCTGTTACTATTCTGGTCCCAGCACAATTTGCCCCTTGTGTGACCAGTCACTTGTAATAGCATCATGAATTGGGCCTCAGGGAGGAGTCTTGACACTTCCTCCTTCTGTTGCGCAGACACCCCAATATCCTACGCCTGTACAACTACTTCCATGATGCACGCCGGATGTACCTGATTCTAGAATATGCTCCAAGGGGTGAGCTCTACAAGGAGCTGCAAAAGAGCCACACATTAGACGAACAGCGTACAGCCACGGTGAGGTGGGAGGCTGAGGGCTTGGGTTCATGAGTTTCCTATGGGCTGATGGGGGTCACTGCTTGTGGTGGTCATGAGTATCCAGATTGCTTTTTTCTTTATTTCTGAATTTCAATCTATAAATTTTTTTTTTCTTTCCTTTTCTTTTTTTTGCGGTACGCGGGCCTCTCACTGTTGTGGTCTCTCCCGTTGCGGAGCACAGGCTCCGGACGCGCAGGCTCAGCGGCCATGGGTCACGGGCCCAGCCGCTCCGCGGCATGTGGGATCTTCCCGGACCGGGGCACGAACCCGTGTCCCCTGCATCGGCAGGCGGACTCTCAACCACTGCGCCACCAGGGAAGCCCTCAATCTATAAATTTTATATAATGACTCTTATATCCTACAACTTCACATTTGGATACCCTAATTACCCCCAGAATATTAATAAATTGTGTGTGTAAGTTTGGATTCTTTGGTTGTAAGCAACAGAATCTAAGTGTGCTAACTTATGGAAAGAAACATGAAAGGCTCTACGGCAGTTCACTGAATAAATGAGTGGAAGTGACTTAGAAATAGGAAGCAAGAGATTGGGGGGGGGGGCTCCAGATGGGAAATCACAGCAATAATCATCCCATGGCCAGCTCCATTTCCAGACTGCTTTTTCTTTGCTCACACAGGTAATGGAGGAGTTGGCAGATGCTCTGACCTACTGCCATGAAAAGAAGGTGATTCATAGGGATATTAAGCCGGAGAACCTGCTGCTGGGGTTCAGGGGTGAGGTGAAGATTGCAGACTTTGGCTGGTCTGTGCACACCCCCTCTCTAAGGTAGGTCAGGTGGTGGCACCCTGGGTGCCAGTTAAGAATGATCCAGTTTGATTTATTTCACACGTAAGATCCAGATACAAGCCTAGGTTTGTATTTAAATACTACCTTTTTTTCAAATGCCTATATTTAATATGTATTTGTAGACTGAAAGAATGTGGCTCAACCATTTAACAGAGATTAATCTCTGTTAACATATAACTTTACCAATAACTTTCCATGTAAATAAATTAAGAACCATTGCTCCATAATTCCAGGAATTTTATTGTATGAATAAACCATAATTAATTTACTTTGTCCCTCTTGTTGTACCATCAGTTTGTTCCAAATCTTGTGAAAATATCCTGGATCGTGAGCTAAATAATTGTATGAAGAATTCTAAAATATGGAGGGACTTCCCCGGTGGTCCACTGGTTAAGACTCTGTGCTTCCATTGCAGGGGGCACGGGTTTGATCCCTGGTTGGGGAACTAAGATCCTGCATGACGTGCAGCACCTCCAAAAAAAAAAAAAAAGTTCTAAAATATGGAGTTGGTGGATCCCAGTACTTGCCTTCTTCAAACCTTGATCTGTATTGAAATTTGGTGTTTCCAAATTCCTGTGCCTGGGAGAGGGCTGCCAGGATTTCCTAGGGTCTCCTGTCTCATTGAAAGCTGGGGAAGGAGTTTCCCTTGTACTGATCCTCTGCTTAGTGCTCCTTTCTCTGCCCTCTAGGAGAAGGACAATGTGTGGGACACTGGACTACTTGCCCCCAGAAATGATTGAGGGGAGAACATACAATGAGAAGGTGGATCTATGGTGCATTGGGGTGCTCTGCTATGAGCTGCTGGTGGGAAATCCGCCCTTTGAGAGCCCCTCCCATAATGAGACCTACAGACGCATCCTCAAGGTGGGAAGGCCACACTCTGGGCATTCATGTGGGAGCTAGTCAGTGGGGGCTGGTGGGCCTGCATAGCCCGGGGCACACACAAAGATCGTCTGCTAAGATCCCGAACAGTGCCTTGAATGGACCAAGGAAATTAACCATACTTCCCTTTCTTCTCTGGCCTCATCAGGTAGATGTAAGGTTTCCCCCATCAATGCCTTTGGGGGCTCAGGACTTGATCTCCAAGCTTCTCAGATACCAGCCCTCGGAGCGGTTGCCCTTGGTCCAGATCTTGGAGCACCCATGGGTCCGGGCCCACTCACGGAGGGTGCTGCCCCCATCTGCTCAAATGGTTTCCTGAGCCCTGTATACCCCTAATCCTTTGTGATTGCTCATGGAGCACCCCTGGCTCTGGTATCTACTCTGTCTTTTGTTTCTTCTCTTTTAAGATGCATCTTGCTAATTAATAAAAGCTGAATCATTTTGTACCAGGTCTTTATAGTTGCATGAGTTGGTGTGTGATTGAGTAGAATCTTTATTTTATTTATTTATTTACTTTTGGTTGCACCACACAGCACGCGGGATCTTAGTTCCCCGACCAGGGATTGAACCCACGCCCCCTGCAGTGGCAGCACAGAGTCTTACCAGGGAAGTCCCTAGAATCTTTATTTCTGTAGAAACTGTTTCCCATGAGAGCAGCCCAAAATGATGCCCTTCCTGGGCCGCAGGTTTTGTGACTTAACGACTCTTCTTGAAAACAAGTTACTACTTTATGCAAATAACCACCCTGGTGGTGCATAACCTACCACCCATCCCAGTGGCTCCTAGACTCAACTCACTTTCCCCATGTTTTCAGGAGTATGTCATTTGTAAAACAGGACACTAATCAATCCAGAGGTCCATTCTCTTTATACTGACATCCAACATGTTGCCATCTTCAAGATAAAATGTTTCACTGCACATCAATGCCATCCAATTCTCAAATGAATTCACTAGCACTTACGCAGTGTTGTCATATTATTGCGTCAGGATAAATCATCCCTGATAATAAATGTATCTTCAACCTCTTCTGTGCAGCAATTTTGGGAGTTTTCTTCCAACATTCCCCTACATCCTCCTGTTGAAGTTTTATGTGGCAGCTGCTCCCTTCATTTACAATAAGCTTGACTGCACCAGAGTAAACATCCAGACTACTCAGCGAGGAGCTCAAACGTTTTCTGATCATTTTGGGCATCTTTTTCACCACTGTGTCTCCTGACTAAAAACACTCCATATAGAGTTTACCCTGTTAATGTTACTTCCACCACCATATTCTATACATTCTCGACAATGTGAAATGTCCAGCAGATGCAGGACCACATTCCTATATGATCAGACCCACTAAGTAAATACAAGCTATTCAGCCACTCCACTCTCAGATGAACAGCCCTACCATTGCAGATCCATCATTTAAATGCTCAAAGGGAATTCCCTGGCGGGCCAGTGGTTGAAACTCCACGCTTTCACTGTGTGCAACCAAAAAAAAAAAAAAAAAAATGCTCCAAGACATTGGCTCATAGTTTTTTCACCTGCACCTTCAGTGCTCCTTGGTTCCCCAAAGTTGTGTCCCCTGTGAAGAGGCGGGTCTGTTTCGGGGCTCTGGGTCTCTTAAGTCATTTTTCTTTTTTTTTTTTTGGCCGTGCCTTGCAGCTTCTGGGATCGTAATTCCCCCACCAGGGATCGAACTCAGGTCCCGGGCAGTGGAAGCGTGGAGTCCTAATCACTGGACTGCCACGGAAGTACTCCTGGGCCTCCTAAGTCGTTTACGTCGAGGAATAACGGCTCTGGAACGTGCTCCGCTGCCGGTTGTTTGTTAAGAAAAAACTACATTACCCAGAAGGCTGTGCACCGCGCGTCTGTAGCAGGCGCTGGACCAATGACGGCCCAGGGCGGGGGCATTTCCTGCGCAGGGGCGGGACTTCCGACCCCATTGGCTGTAGATGTCATTAGCGCGCGACTGTTCCGTCCACGCCAGCTGTGGGGAGGGGATAGCTGTTATGTGGCTGCTTCTAGTGCGGCTCTTCGCAAATGAGCAGAAAGAAGGCTAGGGCTCCCCTCCGCGCATCTGAGCGAGTGGTGAGCCTCCGCGCGATCGGCCACCCAGCCCAGGGCAGGGAACGGGTGGTGGTCGGCTGAGCCCGCGGTATCCGCCTCTGTCGCCGCCTCTACGGGCCCCGCTCTTTCCTCAGGGTCCCATGATGGCGTCGGCGTGGATGGACCCGACGCGGGTGAGTGGACCATGTTTCTGGCCTTGCTGCTTCTCTTCTGGTTCGGAGAGGGCTCCTGAGCAGGGTGTAAGTCAAGAGAGGCGCTAGATTTCTCTTTGCAGTTGTGTTTGTGTACGACCAGTGGAGCTGGCTCATCACTGACTTTATCTCCAGTCTTAGAACGTGCGAGACTGAATATGCAAATGGAAAATAGACCGCGTATAAAAATAGAACTTTGACAAACAACCTGCCCGGTAATCCAGTCCCTTATCTACAATCAACAACCCAGGAGTCTAGCCCGGTCTAAGTCAGACTTGCCAGAAGCCAGATTCCTATCTCTATAGAGACAGTCCAGGAAGAGAAACAGTGACTTATGTAACATCGGCCCTAAATGGCCAGCACTTGGTTAATAATTGACCCTTTCCCTAATCCTTGTCCCCACTAACAACTTAAAACCAACCAGAGAAAGCCATCCATATGTGCGCCCTTAAACAATCATACTGTAGGATTACCTGCCGGAGAGTTTTAATTAATTAAACGTATATCATCTGGTAGTCAGTGTTGAAGCCCTAGTTAATTTTTCTATCCTTACCTACCTCCCCAAAATGTGCCCAGTAATACGAGTTTATCCAGTACCAGAAATGAGTAATATTGCAGGGTTCCTATGTATGAACCAGTCAATTTATTAGGAATTTCTAGGTATTTAATTGAAATATTAACTCAAGAAAGCTGTTAGGATGAAGCTAGAAAGCAGAGAGATGTGAGCACTGAAAGTGCAGGTGAAAAACCATGAGGCGATGTCTTGGAGCATTTAAATGATGCATTGGTGGGGCTGTTCATCTGAGAGTGGAGTGGCTGGATTTTTTAAATTTACTTAGTGGTTCTGGTCACATAGGGATGTGGTCCTGCATCTGCTGGACATTTCACATTGAGGAGAATGTATAGAATATGGTGGTGGAAGTAACATTAACAAGGAAAACTCTATATGGAGTGTGTTTAGTCAGGAGATACTGGTGAAAACGATGGCTTAAGAGCTAGGGACTTAGTTGCTTTTAGACAACATAAAGCACTCAGCATGGGGACCAGCAGGTAGTAGGACCAGTGAAGCTCAGCTACTGCTGTTATTAACATTATTGATATTACTATTATCATCACTTAGTTCTCTGACATCCTAGAGTCCTTTCTGTCTGCATCTCACAGTTCCAATGTCATTTCCATTGACTTGTGTCATTTTCCAATGGCTCCTGCATAGTAGGCTCCTCTCTCTTACACTATAGGCATACCTCGCTTTATTGTACTTCATAGATACTGTGTTTTTACGGATTGAAGTTTTGTGGCAACCCTGCGTCCAGCAAGCGTTTCAGCATTCACTTACCTTGTGTCTCTGTGTCACATTTTGGTAGTTCTCACAATAGTTCAGACCCTCCACCCACAAAAAGATTACAGCTCACTGAAGGCTCAAGATGATGGGTAGCATTTTTTAGCAATAAAGTACTTTAAAAATTTTTTTTTCCTTCTTGCTTTTCAGTTTATTCCTTTTTTAAAGTTTTATTTTTATTGGAGTATAGTTGCTTTACAATATTGTGTTAGTTTATACTGTACAGCAAAGTGATTCAGCTATACGTATACATATATCCCCTCTTTTTTGGATTTCCTTCTCATTTAGGTCGCCACAGAGCCTTGAGTAGAGTTCCCTGTGCTATACAGTAGGTGGCAATAAAGTACTTTTTTTTTTTTTTAATTTTTAATTTTTTGGCTCCGTTGGGTCTTCATTGCTGCGCACGGGCTTTCTCTAGTTGCGGCAAGCGGGGGCTACTCTTTGTTGCAGTGCGCGGGCTCCTCACTGCGGTGGCTTCTCTTGTTGCAGAGCATGGGCTCTAGGCGTGCGGGCTTCAGTAGTTGTGGCTCTCAGGCTCTAGAGCGCAGACTCAGTAGTTGTGGTACATGGGCTTAGTTGCTCCGGGGCATGTGGGATCTTCCCAGACCAGGGATCAAACCTGTGTCCCCTGCTTTGGCAGGTGGATTCTTAAGCACTGCGCCACCAGGGAAGTCCCTAAAGTAATTTTTAATTAAGGTGTCTACATTATTTTTTTAGACATAATGCTATCGTACACTTAATAGACTGCAGTATAGTGTAAATATAACTTTTATATGCTCCTGGAAACCAAAAATATCATGTGACTGGCTTTATTGGAGTGGTCTGGAACCAAACCCCCAATATCTCCAAAGTATAGCTGTATCGTATTATGTCCAAAGCATTGTCCACCTCCCCTTCAGCCCAGTGCAGAGGAAGTGCCCAGTGATTAGGGCCTTGATCTTGCTGCACCTTTACCAGTGATGCAGAGATGGGCTCTGATCCCATCCAACCATCCCAAGGCTAATGCTACTACCTCTGTTTGACATTCCAGGTGTCTGTGACCTTCGATGATGTGGCCGTGACTTTTACTCAGGAGGAGTGGGGGCAGCTGGACCTGGATCAGAGGACCCTGTACCAGGAGGTGATGCTGGAAAACTGTGGGCTCCTGGTGTCTCTGGGTAAGGCCTTGCCACTTTGCCATGCAGAGGACGTGCCACCTCCTTTATCCCAAACTCTGGCTCCGTCTTGGCTGGTCAAGACGGCCTCAGGAGCCCTTCCTCCCTCTTCCTCATTTTTGAGATTCATCTCTTCCTGCCTGCTATCCCTGTGTCTCTTTGAATAAAGTTCCTTTTTGGCTCCTAGAAAATGATGGAAGGAAACAGGGGTGTTTTGCAGAACCCAAAGGCAGAATTTCTTGTTGGGCCATATGATGGACTGATGTAGGAACTGGGAACCACCAGGATTATGCCCTGACTTCTGGATCTCCTGTCCTGGTTTTCCCTCTGGCTTTGTTCACGTCTCTGTCTTTTCAAAATGGCTTTTGCGCCTCAGCAAGTTTGTGACAGGAGTGGCCACCCCAGTCCCTGCTCTCTGGGGCCCCCAGATACCTTGTTTCTACTTCTTTGCATACTTATATTGTTTCTCTCTTTTTCTTTCTCTGCTGCTGGGCTCCAGGGATGGAGGCAGTGCAGGAGTGGCCACCTGAGCCCATACTCCCCTGAGCCTCTACCCCAGTGCCCAGCACAGACTGGCCTCTGTCTGAGGTTCTTATTTCACAGTCCAGACAGGGAGCTGACTGGGTGGGACTGGTTGGCTCACGTGTCCCCTGCAACCCAGTCCACAGGGCTGTGAGTGATGGTATGGTCTCCAGGAAGAGGGTGAGGCAGGT